GAAGGAAGGAAGGAAGGAAGGAAGGAATCCCTGACCGCTTTCCCACCTCCCTCTGGCCCCTGTGCCCAATCGCCTGGCAGCAAGGTCCAATGTGCGAGCAGCGATTGGCCACTTTGGAACTGAGGCAGAAATTTGAAATCTCTTAACGGCTATGGGCATTGAGGGAAGGATGAGGGAGCAACTTGGATGCCTGCTGGCGAGGTAGGGCTGATTGGGAAGTGCTGGTGGTCAATGGGTTGTCTAGTATTTGCTTAAAAGAGATGACAGTGGGTTGAGGGTATCCGAACACAGGGAAGGACTCTCTCAAACTGCTTTCAGCTTCAGGAAAAAGTGGCTAGGAATTATGAAAGTTGTAGTCCAACATATCTAACCTAGCAGCACTAGGCTGGGGAAGCAAGCAGAAATCCAGGAGTTGAGCCAACAAGAGGACAGTAGAAAGGCAGAGAAGTAGCAGCTGGCCGAGGGTCTTCCAATACCTCCATGTCTGCCAGTAAAGGCCAAGCTGATGTCAGCTCTGAAATCCTCTCCTAGAGTGATTCACTAGATGCAATCTGTTACTATTTAGGGTTAGTTCCCCCCCCAAAAAAACTAGGAGTGTCATGCCTTCTCCTCTCCCAAAATTATATGCAGAAGCTTTGCCAGCCTCATTATGTTCCTAGCAACTGTTTTGTGCTGTTTTAATTCTTTATGATTTCATCATAGCCACTTTGAAGGCTGTTGTTATAGCCAAAAAACCCCCAGCCCATTAATGCAAACATAAACATACACATGAGTTTTCCCAGCACTCTGTTGCTAATCAAAGATAACCGGGCAGAGGGAATGGTGGGGGTGGTGATGGAAGAATGGAGAACGTGACCGTATTTGGAGGTGATGTTCCTATAATCCAGGAATCTACAGCTGCTGAATGCTAGTGACAATAGTTTCTATTTGAGCTGGCTCAGTTCAGGTATCAATCATGACTTACATTGAGGTAAGCAAGCTTTTTCACTTTGGGGGTTGCAGTTGTTGATCTGTAGGGTTGGAGCCCCAGTTAGAAACAGGGTGAGGACAGAACCTACTGGATTCAATTGGACTTCTAATAACACATCTTAGATAATAACAGTGCCAAACAGAATTTTTTTCCTGTTAGTTCCTTCGCTCTCAGAGTATTCCCAAATGATGATTTTTGTTACTCGGTTAGGGGTTATTGTGTGCTGCCAGAACCATCAGTAGAGACATCTGACTGGTTAAGTATGTTGATGGAACTGGCTAGCTATATTCACACAAAACGCTTAACCCAATCCATTAAGGTCCTAATTTTCGCATCTACATAACATACTAAGCTTTGTTGGTTCTAATTTTGGTTGGTTAGTTATTTATTGACTGATTATGGTTTAGCGTGTTATGAGAATGTGGAAAATCCTGTTTTTCTGGGGCTAGCCTAGGACTTTATCTCTGTACTGGCCACCAGATAAGAGGAATAAACTTCCACCAATTATCTTGACCTATCTTCAGGACACAAGTGACCTGGGAGAATGAATTTAAACTCTGCCCCATGACAGGCTAACCACCCACACCCTTTGATCCAGTTAAGCCACTGAGTCCAATCCCTGGTTCATCTCCCCCAAGATCATTAAAACGGCTCTCCAAGGTTTTTGTTCCCAGAGTTGGAGTCTCAGATCTTCTCTGGGCAAACACATCCTCTGACACTGAGCTAAAGCATGCACAGAGATTAGTGTGGTAAGACAGGCTGATCTGATCATTAGGAAGAATGAGGCAGTTGCCTCAGGCAGGAGAATTTAGGTGGTATGGGAGAGCAGAAATGGTTAGCTTTATAACACATTTTGTTATATTTTACAGCTAAGGGGGAGAAATGCCGATGAGGTTCTATGTCTCAGGTACTAAAAGTAACTTGATCAGCTTGCTCAGGGTACAAGATACTCAAGCAGGATAACTTCTTGGGCCAAATCTGCTTTTTTACTTTTTAACAAACAATCCCTTAGAATCTCCCATCACTGGCTAAGCAGTTCTTCAAAACCAGCCAGCCCTTCAAAGTAGACCAGGTTAGCAAACAGGGACCACAAGAAATACTAGAAATCTACTTTATTCATACAGACTAATACTAATAGAATCTTGAAAACTTGGCAATGTTTCCCCTTCCTTCCTTTATACCAAAGGGAGTCTAAGTAGAGCCACTTAAAGTTCCTTTCTCACGCTGTCTTATTTTTCCAGACCGAGCTCATATTTTGCTAAAAATCTCTGTGTATTTCCTCCAAGGTCATCTCTGTGTTCCTCTACAAAACCTAAGGAAACATAAATAACAATAAACCTCCGCTGGCGCAATACTGCATCACTTCTTTTAAGGGTCCTTGACTCTGAATTCCAAGTGGGAAAAGATAAGCACCAAAGCCAAGCCATGATTTCTGATTTAATTCTCTTCACCTTCAGGAAATCAAACCACGCTTCCTCTGGCCTCTTTGTAAACAGAGGCTGGGTTTCACAACCCACTAAACCCTAATCTTGGGTAAACAAAATCACATGCAACAAACAAACCGTATTATGCCTTATAATTACGTCTTGTTCCCACAACATGCTGAAACTGTAGCTGGGTTTCCACCTGCTAAATGACTAATTACCCAGTCCTAATCTCAGTATGGTTTAGCATGTTGTATGGATTGCACAGAAAGTGATATCCTTTGTCACCACGGCAAAGCATATGCAACTTCCAAACAGCACCAAGTCTGTAGGAGGTCTGGGGTGAAGCCAGTTGAGTAGCTTCTAATTTAAGGCTATTGATCGCCCATTTCTTCTGTCTTTTTTACTGACTTTATCAAATTAATGGGCTTCATATAAACACTGAATCCACACACTATCCGCCTCCTCCACCCTGCCTCCCTGCACACTAATGAGCAGAAAGGCCTTTTTAGGTCGGAAAAACCAGATCACAGGGTGGAAGACATGTCACACGGTGAGAGTTATTGCTGCAGGAGATAGTGAAAAGAAGGAAGAGGTTCGTCAGTGAAAAATCCAGTCAGCCCATTAAACATTCGTCCCTTGCTGTGGAGGCAGATGGGAAGAGGCATTCACAAGCTGACTAATAAACCCAAATATATGACGGTGGGGAGAAGGTGGGCAAAACGCCCAGATTCTCAGAAATGCCAAAGTTGAGGCTGGAGGAACCTACACGTTTTTCCCCCCTACATGAATCTCCTTAATTCCCTCATTCTATTTCCAGTGTTTAAGTGCTCTTATTTATGTAACGCTACCTACACAAAATTTGGACATGCCATGCAAAGACCTAGCTCTCTGGAGAAGTCTACAATGCTGGGCAAGTTGGATGGAAAGACAAAAAGAGGATAGTCAGCAACAAGCAGATGGACACAATTAGTGTTGACAGGTGCCCTGTTGGAAGACCAGAAGGGCCAGGGTGGGGAGAGATCCTCCTGGAGAAGATCTATCTAGGCGATTGCTAACAGTCAACCCTGACTTGATGATACATGATCATCATCAGTCACCCAAGTGTAAGATGGTGATATCAGGCAAGCTTCAAGCTTATAGAAGTACAATCTTGAAATTAAAAACAACAGGGAAGGAACCTCCCAAACAGTTGATAAAGATTGAGTGTGCTCAAAGGCTAGAAATGGCTGTTTGTAGGGAAAGGGTGAGAGGAGGAATACAATGGAG